TTTTTATAGCAAATGATTCTGAAAGATCGAAAAATTCTTGGGAAATTCAAATTTCTGATGATAAATCGGTAAACAAAACTAAATAAATATTTAAAAATTAAAGCAAAAACATTATATACTTTGCAATATATGTATACAAGGTGCGTCATCAAAATCTGGATAAATCGAACAATTTCTTTAAACAAAATGTTTTAATGAAAAATTCCAATATCACAAAAAAACCTTTTATATGGCATTTGGGGGATCTCTGTAGAGCACAATTATTCGATATGTTCCCCAGTTAGTTTGAATGACGGCCTCTATTTTCGGTCTGAAACGTTCGCAAGCATGCTGTAATGTAGCGCTGTCGACGAATGCTCAATAGCGGTCCTTAATGACATTACATTGGGATGTCGAGACTTGTTTGTGAATTTCAATTACGCTCCATACGTAGTAGTCCAAGGGATTTAAATCTGGGCTTGGGAGGCCAGAATTCCTTGGACCAAAACATATCGACATTGAGAGTCAATTTTGAATTAAATGACTCGTATGAGCCAGTACATCATCCTGCTGATTGAATATTTTTGTCTCAAACGTTCAATTATTTGTGCTTCACTACATCCATCAGAACGCGCAATGGTTGCCCTGGATCATCCGAAATTAGCGCTTGAGCCCTTTCAACGACTGTGGGGATCCTCGCGGTGCGTTCTTTCGAGTGACTCTCCCTTGCTGGCATATTGGAACCTTCGTTGGACTATTCTAAAGCAGTATATTTTACCACAATATCATAAACAGTTGATCTCGAGTATCCAAAGAACCGAATTATTTCCATTGCTGAGCACCCAGCGTTAAGGCTTTCGATGATCGCGGCTTTTCGATTATATTCCGCACTTGGTTTCAACATCACGGCCATTTTGAGAATATGACTGTTTACTAGAAGCATCAGGCATTCTCGGACGCCAACAACAATCTCTGGCGGAGGCACAATATAGCTGAAAATTGAAATTGAAATTTGTCCGGATTTTGGTGACATTCTGTATGTATGTATGTGTATATATGTATATATATATATATATATATATATATGCATATATAATAGCATACATACATACGCGTGTGCGTGTCTATGCGTGTGCGC